CTCTTGCCATGGATCTCAGCAGGGCCAGGACGTCAGCGTGTGTGCAGCAGCCCCGCAGCGCTGGTGGGGGACACACGCCACTCGGGGCCTCTTCCCAGCTGCGCTGGCTGTCTTGGGATTTGGGATGGCAAAGGTTAACAGGTTACGCAGTGGGGTGGAACAGATCCTCCCCCATGCCTGCCTTTAATCAATGAACCCGTTAACCAATGAAACCGGATTTGACATCCCTACTCGGGATGGGGAAGGGGCCTACGACGCCAGATGTGGCCACACCCCAGCAACCCGGTGGCAGTCGCCTTTGGCGTTCCTTTCCCGGATTCAAGGATCTGACGCGGGTGCTGCTTCCGAACTCCTCGGCGTTCTCTCTTTGGCAGGCTGGTGGGGAAACCACTGCCCGGCGCCCGGCTGGCCTGCCTGACACGGAGCCAGCTGAACCAGCTCCTGATTGGGGGTGGGGCGACGTCTCTGCGGCCCCCGGGAGTTGGGCTGGGGAGCTGGGTTTGAGCCCAGCCCCGTGGCAGAGCAGGTGCAGCACGTAGTGGGCCGGCCTGGAATGTGTTGTCCGGGCTCCTTTTAACCGCAAGCTCCATGTTCCACCAGCCTGGGAATGAGGAAATGGGGATTCTGGGTAAGTCCCAGAGCAATAAAAAATCCAACCCGCACAGCCCTGGCACGGGGAGGGAAACCATGTGTCCAGCACCACCTCTCAGAGCCAAGTGATGTGGGGAAGAGGGAGCTGGGACCTGACTCTCCCCCCTGCCACACACTTCACCTCTGTGGTCTTGATCAAATCCCCTCATCTCCGGGGCCAGTCAGCAGGCTCGGGTTGTTCCATGGATGTTCTCCCCACCTGGGCTCCGTGGGGATCCCCGGTTCCAGCGAGGGTAGGTCCGCCAGAGGCAACAGCTCCCGGTTTTGAAGGAAGCATGAACAGAGCGTAACCTGAGCCCGCCCGCCCCAGGCAATTGCTCTGAGAGGCGCAAATCACGCCAGCCACCTCAATGGAGTGTTAACTCTGAACCCTAAGGACAACCTGGACGCTTTCGGTGGTGCTCTGCCGCTGATTCATTTGAGCAGCACCACTTAGCTGGCGCTTGAGGCAACAGCTCCCGGTTTTGAAGGAAGCATGAACAGAGCGTAACCTGAGCCCGCCCGCCCCAGGCAATTGCTCTGAGAGGCGCAAATCACGCCAGCCACCTCAATGGAGTGTTAACTCTGAACCCTAAGGACAACCTGGACGCTTTCGGTGGTGCTCTGCCGCTGATTCATTTGAGCAGCACCACTTAGCTGGCGCTTGTGCCCTAAGCTGGAACGGCTGCTTTGTCAAAAGAAAGAGCCGAGGGGGGTCACACAGTGGGGGGCGGGGGGGCAGAAGAGCTGGAAAAGTTCTTCCCCCAGCTCCAGCTGTCCTCCTCCGAAGGCCCCATAGGGAGGTGCGTAGGGCCCCACCTGCTTCCCAGATTGAGCCAAAAGAACAAGCAGCTACCTCTGGGGAGAGCGTAAGGAGGCCGGGGCGGGGGAACGAAGTGGAAAGGAATCGGAGGAGAAGCAGGCTGGGGATACCCCAGGCCAGGCAGCACCTGTTTGGATTGGTGTTGAGCTGGTGAAAGGGACAAAATCACAGATCCCTGGAGTGTGGGGATGTCACTGATGCACCGGCTGGGCCCGCTGGCTTCCAGGGGAGAGAGGAAACTGAGGCGGGGCCAGGTCTGATGCTAGGTTTCTGGTGCCCTGTTGTGGAACCTGACAGACAGTTCCCTGCGCTGCCCACTAGACCCATAACAACAGCCAAACTGGGTCAGGCCAAAGGCCCATCTAGCCCAGTGTCCTGTCTGCTGATAGTAGCCAGTGCCAGGTGCCCCAGAGGGAGTGAACAGAACAGGAAATCATCAAGTGATCCCTCCTCTGTCACCCATTCCCAGCCTCTGACAAACAGAGACTAGGGACACCATTCCTGCCCATCCTGGCTAATAGCCACTGAGGGACCTAACCTCCATGAATTTATCTAGCTCTTTTTTGAACCCTGTTAGAGTCCTGGCCTTCACAACATCCTGTGGCGAGGAGTTCCACCGGTTAACTGTGCATTGTGTTCCTGACTTCAGGCGATAATTCAAGTAATCCAAGGCTATAACACTGCTCCTAAGGATCTGAATTGTTTTCATAAAAGAGAAGTTAGCTTAGTGGTTAGAGCGCAAGGGATGGGGCATCAGGACTCCTGGGTTCTCTCGCTTGCTCGGTGGTCCGGGGAGTGGCTAGCTCCCCCTCTCTGTGCCAGGGACTGGAGAAATGGGGTATGAATGCCAATTGCTCACCAGCCTGATCTGCATCACGTCCTTCTACAGGCTGCAAGGCAGAATTCAGTGTACTCCATAAACATCTCTGGCTGATGCTCGCCCGGGGGACAGGGGCCAACCCTGCCTGTGGCTCCCTGACTGGAGACAGGCTGGAGAGCCCCTCGCCGTGGGCTGGGCAGAGCCGGTGCCCTGGGGAATGTCGCTGGTTGGGAGGCAGAGTCTCCCAACATACAGCCTCTGGCGGGAAGGCCGGTGGCAAAGTTTCCAGGCTTTCAAATGTCCCTCCAGCTGCAGCCCGATTTCAGGCCCTGACCCCACTGGGCGGCGAAAGGAGCAAGGGGACGAAATCACCCCTGTGGGTCTTGATCCCTGGGACGGCCGATGCCCCCTCCTTGGAACTGGGGAAGATGGAAAGTGCTGGCTCAGGGTGACCCATTGGGCGTGTCAGCTGCCTTTTGTTTTTCAAGAATTCGGGCCATTAAAAAGAAGAGTGTGTGAGTCAGAAACAGGCCTGGAGGGGAAGTCAGAGCGGCTTTCTCTTGCAGGGCCTGGGGGCAAGCCCAGGAGCGACGGGGATGGGCATGTGAGAGGGAGCTGGGTCATGGTTATCAGGCTTGGTGGAGTTTCCACCAGGCTTGGCCAACCCCCATGGGGAAGTCAGAGCGGCTTTCTCTTGCAGGGCCTGGGGGCAAGCCCAGGAGCGACGGGGATGGGCATGTGAGAGGGAGCTGGGTCATGGTTATCAGGCTTGGTGGAGTTTCCACCAGGCTTGGCCAACCCCCATGGGAAACGTGACCTTTTGTGGTGGAGCCACAGCGTTTGAGCAACCCCGAGCTCCACGCCCCCGG